TAGGACACATGCTATGCTATAGCTATCTAAATGTTTTCGTCTCTTTCAACCACCTTTTCTAATGGAAATTAATTATGTTTAACTAAATAATATATTGTTGAAACTTATTAAGTAAGAGTTTGAGAAAAGCATTGACACTGAACAACTATGGTAAAAATAGCATGTCTGTTATGCAGAGACGTATTGCCAACAGAATTACAAATTATTATTATGAACCTTTTTTAAGTTGACAAATAACGATTTTCGGAAATTTGAATTGCTAACATTTATATAATAAAACAGATCAATATAGATATGTCTTGTATTATAAAAACAAAGAGCCATATAAAATTCATATTATAACTCACTAGGGATTCGTATTGCACTATCTGATTGAGAAAATTTGCATTAGTTTCAACTTTGATGTGCATATTTTTTAAGAGAAGCAAATGGAAAACCAATAATGGAAAAAGAACTACTGTTAAATACCAATCATTTGAAGCTTTACGTTGATTTCTTCTAGTCAATAAGTCTATACATTTAGATTGTTTTTATTTAATAATTAAGAATGATTGAATTCATAAATGAGAACAACAAATAGATTTGAAGTACAGTACATTTTTCTTCAGACAAATAAGAAAAAGAGAATATCACTGATTTCTATCATTTGTCAAGCCAAAATTGAATAAAACTGTCTGAAACATAGATACATTCGAATTGACAGTTTTTCTTTTCAGTACCAGCAAGTTTTTCCACCATTGTACTATTGGATAATGAATTTGGACTTGCAAATTTAATTGTCATCGTCTCCAGTTTATGCATATTGCAACAAATTTGACAAATAGTCAAAAGAAAATTGTTGTCATCTATTGATTGAAAATGTAACATTTTATATTCCTGAAGATAAATGGCTTGCAATGACAATGATACATCTAATCGAGCAATGGTATTTAAAGTGTCGTCATCATCATCTGGAGTATTATTTAGTTGATCAACAACAAGTTTTTCGAGAGATGAAAATTGATCAATTTTATCACTAAGATTAATTGTTTGCACAAGCTTCAATAACATTTGTGAATCGATGCGCAATAATCGTAGATGTGGCATCCAGTTGAGCCAAGTCATAGTCGTGTTAATAAGTTCTTCACCTATACAATACATTTATAACGGATGTCTCATAATAAATCCGTTATTTTAGAATGAAAACTGCAAAATTATTCAGAGTTACAAATCAATCCAATGCATAATGATGACTATTCTTATTCAGAATTAATAAAAAAAATTAAATCTGCTCTTTTTCTTACAAATATTCTTGTTTAAATGAACAATCTTTTAAAACAAAAAATTCTACTTAAGACTACTCTGTAAAAAAAAAAAAAGTTGACCGACTGAACCTTTTAGGGTTCTAGATTTGGGTGCCATTTTAAGAACCTTTTTTAGTTCTAGCCGAAGACGCAGAACTGTTTAAAGTTCTAGATTTTCTGGCTAGAAATTTTTTAAGTTCTGAATTTTTCGGCTAGAACTATAAAAAAAGATTCTTTAAATGGTACCCAAATCTAGAACCTTAAAAGGTTCAAGGTCTTGTCTAAAACCTTAAAAGGTTCACTATGACACCTTTTTTTTTTAGAGAGTAGTGAACAAAACTGAAAGAAATTTTCGTATAATTACTATTCTGAGTGTTATAGTATGGCAACAGTAGAAATTCATCAAACGGCATCATATTGTTTTCATCTTGTTCCAGTTGATAAAAACCACGATGTTGAACATGTATTCTATGTCCTAGTTTTAGAAATAATTTTACTTTGTAGAAAACTCAAGTATTGATAAGAAATTATTTACTTCGATAAGTTCCTTGTTTCAACAAAGCCACAAATGATGAACTTAACGTTTCATTTTGACCAATCTTTACAGACACTTGATAAGGTTTTGCAAATAGCATTGGTACTAAATCATTAAGTTGATATCCAGTCTGATTGAATTGTGTATACATGATACCCGTCGTAGTCACAAAATAATCAGAAAATCCATAAGGTAATGAAAAAATGACATAAATACAATTCAATTTATCATAATACAATCCAATTAACATAGATAGCCAATAGTCTGAAAACAAAATTCGATTAATAGCTACTAAATTTCTAAATGAACTATTTATATTGAATTACTATCGAAAATCAAAAGCGCAAGAAGATACTCGATATTTTCGGCTACTGTTAGTGGTGTAGAATGTTGATAAAGACAATCTTGATTAACCCAATATTTTTTCAACATTTAATAAGCTCTAGGAATGTTCATCGATGTACTTATTAGTTAAAAAACTATAGTTTTGGACAGAAAATTAGCATATAATATAGATTTATTATTGCTCAATTGCTTGAGTTCTTCATACACACTTATTGTGAATTATGTCTTAAACGTCGAAAGAAAAAAAATTGAAAATTTCAGTCACCTCTTCGGTTATAGGTAAGATTCTATTGTCGATTGTTTTTTCTAAACGCATATTGAATAATTAAAGTTAAACTAAGTCTTGACATGTTGATGACTTAAATGTTCAAACAAATAATCATGTCGAAGATACACGCCTATCTTTCTCTTCTTTTAGGCGTTGTCTTTTGTTTTATGCTTATTCAATGATCATAACCAAAATTATTAATCACACAAAGCACTGAGAATGGAGCAGATTATTTCATGATCAGATAAAGACAAATGATGTTGACTTACTGGTTTGAAATGATTTAATAAAATAATCCATTTGTTGATTACATAAACAAGCTGTTTCAATAGAAAAATTAAATTTTTTTAACTTTGTTATATGAATTATAAGTTCGTTGAAAAGAAGATTTCCATCAACATATACTAATGAATGACAATAAGCAGGATCTTTGTGAGTGAAAGCTAAATCAAGATTCACAAGACTTTTACGAAATAAGAGAATAAAGTTCACAACACTTGGAAAATATTGCACAACACTATGCACTCTAGAATATAGATGAATGCACAATTGAATATGTTTACCTATCGAAGTTACTTACCGAAAAATTAATTTTGTTAAATTGGTGCATGGACAAATGCAGGAAAGAAACAGGTCATTGTCATTTCTTGTAACATTCTTGCAAATACGAACATCTGGAATAAAGAAAATATCTCTCATACCATAAACTTACAGATATTACATATTTATATTATAGGCTGTATGTCATTCTCTTTGAAAATTCCAAAAAATAATCTTTTATATCATAAAAGACTGTATAAAGTACGTCAACTAGTCCATAGATACATCAATCATACATTATCTTTTTTCTCATTGTATGATTTTATATTTAGAGTTGAAGATAGCCAAAGAGGAAGACACGCATCTGGTTCTGTGCAAATAGACAAGCATGAAAGTTACTTGAGGCTCGGTCTTGTTGCACATAACCAACATTATTCATAATAATGTCAGATATTATTTTAATTTTCATTCTGGCAAGGTTCATACTCAGATGAGCAAACGTTTCTTGTTGGTTTTTCTAAATTCTTAATACTTAAATAAGTTTTTAGTTTAGATTCGTTAATTTTCAAGTCCAAATATGAATCAATTTCGTACCTTTTTTACACTAAAACAATGTTTTTCATTTTCGTTTTTATATTTTTCTCAATTTTTCATTATCCATATCGAAATAATTTGACTTGAATCAGCTAAATAGAAAAATCTTAAACATTTATTTAATAGGTTATTGTATTTTTTGTGTGTGGAATCATTTAACTTAATGTTAAATAGATAATCTACATGATCATTTTTATAGATTTTCTCCTGTGCTAAACTTTGCCAGAATAAAGAATCTATCGTGAATTAAATCATTGAAAGTGAAATATTAAATTCGAAGAGGAAAATATTCTATCAGACTATAATACTGACAATTAGTTTATAACAATAGTTTTGATTTTTTTTTTAATTAACTTAAATTTCAAACGTTACCAAGTGTTAAGAGTTTTGGAAGAAATTGAAGTAAATTTTTCAATGAAATAAAATCCTCGATATAAATTCGAAGATAAATAAGAGAATTTTGTAGTTGATAAAAGAATGAAATTGGTTCATGAAAAATAATGCCATTCTTTCTATGATCACTATGAAGAATACATCTCTGTAGTTGACTGATTGTTCCATGAGCAAGAAGATTTGAACATATCAAAGATGATACTTTCTTCAATGAACATTTTTTAAGTGTCACATGCTGTAGATACGGAATAACTACCAGATAAGGTTCAAGATCATCACTATTCATTTCAGGAACATTGTACAAGACAAGTTGTTGGAGTTTTGGAAACATTTCCAAAAGTGTTACAAAACCTACTGAAAAAACACAAAAATAAGGAAAATAAAAACTTTCTTTTCATTTTTATATTAAGATCCTATCAGTGTAAACGAGAGTATGTAGAAATTTGGTAGAAAGAAAAAGTGCCGAAAGTGAAACATATCGAAAGTTCTGTTAGTACAGCTTTAGCACACATTATTCATGTGTAAATCTAAGACATAGACTCTGCTACAGATTATTCATGCGGTGTTGATGAAAGCGTGTGTTGAAGTTACATAAATAGCTCTTTCGATATTTTTTACTTTCGGCGTTTTTCCTTTCTATGAAATTTCTACCATCTAAATAAGATCATAAATGATATGAAAAATTTTGATACTTCAGTTTTTAACAGGAAATCTCAAACTCAATCATAGATATCGAATTAAACAAATTAAACAAAGATTTTATTTGGAAAAGTATTACAGTTTCAATCTGAGACTAATTTTAGGAAAAAATAAAACAAAATTGATGAAAGAAGAATCAGTATAAAATGACTACTGTGTTGCATCGACGAGTTCTTGTCAAAAAAAAGTGTTGATATCATCTTTATTACAAAATAATTTTAGGATAAAAATTTCGTGAAATCCACGAAAAACTAATGGCAATGATTACAAAATAAACTCTACTTCGTTGTGTCTTTAAGATTATCAAAGTCCTGACGTGTACAGAAATGAAACTAATGATAATAATTCAAAACTTTGTTCGTTCTTTAATTTATAATTTAAAGTAGAGATTGACATCTATAACTAACCTGAACGCATTTGTGTAAAAATACGTAGTTGGGAATAAGAAAATCGATGACCAATTTTTAATGTTTCTACATTCAATCGGATTTTATTGAATAAATGAGAACAAAAAAGTTGAAAAGATGATAACGATGCTTCACGAAAATTGATACTTTTATAACAATATTTTTCTAATAGACGTGTGTATCGTTGACATTTCATAGTTCCAAATATTCTAATTGATTCAACATGACCTAAGTATGTCCAAATAATCAAAATAAGTTCATTGGGTAAACAATTGAAACAACTTGCTATTGATAATGATTGAATATTGATCATCATAAAGTCTAATTGATGATTAACTAAATGATAATAATGTGTATCATCAATCTGTTCATTTACCCAAATTAAAAGTTACGTTTTATTTATCTAACATCATTTAACATCAACAACAAAGCTATTGAGTGATTATATATATTTAAAATAAAAAGTAAGAAGGTGATTTTCTTTTTTAATTATAATATTTTACTAAAGTCAAATAGAAGTCGAAAAAATATACTTTGACGAAGAAAACGTGATCAATCATTTTCAGAACATTTACATATTGATTAAAATAAAATAAAGAAAATCCGTCAAATGATTTTACTTTGTTATTAATCACTACGTTGCAAAATAAAAAGAGAGTGTAGGTATAACTTTTGAAAAAAGTTAGTTTATTCTCGTGATAAATGACATTAAATCCGATGCAATCGATTTAATGTAGAATGCTGACAATAACTATTACAGATAATACATGATTTCTGACAAACTCCTGTTCAAATCTAAAAACAACACTTCGGAAATCTTTCACATTTCTTCTCTTAAATAAGATGATTCTCTTTATTTAATATATTGCATATGGTTATTTTGGTAACATGAATATATTTATCTTGCTAGATTATGAAATAAATCGTTTTCATCTTTTACTTACGAGGAAATGTTGGAGACATATTAATTATACAGTATGTGCTTCATAGCAGAACGAATATTTTTTCCATAGCATTATATTCTTCGAACAAAATTCATTATTGATATATATTTGATACGTAACAGTTTTCACAATTAATCGTCTTATCTATTTGACAATATTCTATTGTTGACTTGTCTATCGATGTGGATCAACATATGACATATATATATATCTATCGAAAGTTCATTCAAAGGTCAACAACAAACATAGTCAAGGAAACGAAGAGAAAGTATAGAAAATGAGAACATATTTATATTACATCTAAATTGGCATTTTTTTATTTTTTGTATCGATTGAAAATCATCTGTCGAAAATAGATAATGAATTTGACTAATATTCAATAATATTTTTTTGTGAAACCTATATTAGTACAACTTGACAAATAGAAATATTCTCTTTTGTTTAATAATTATTTTGCTTTTTTTTCCTTTTCTCTTCTGTCACCTTTTTTTCACAATGGTCACGGACACCGTTGAACGCGTTAAATAAATGACAATATCGGTCAGTTTCTATATGTTGATACATATTAAGAAAAATTTTTATTGCAAAAGAGAATCTAGGAATAATATGAATATGTATATATGAATAGAATTTCACGAGATTTTTATAAATATAAATAATTGAGTTTACAAAGAAGAAAGAAATAATTTATCAGAAGTTTAAATGATGAACTTATCTTGAGATGATTATCTATCCTAATTTATTCATAATTCAGTTCTTCATTACTTCAGTTCGTTTCAGTTGTTTTTTTACTTTGATCTTCTCCTCAGTTCAATTTGTTTCGATCGATTTGTTTTGTTTCTAATATTGCCCATTAGTATAAGTTATATTTATATTTTATACCCAAGCAGTCAGAAATGAAAAAATAACACGTTATAACAGACACTTTTCGTTTTTCTTTCAATGTATTGTAGACTTCGACAAATGTCCAAATTTTCGCGTTTTAACAGTTGATATTATTTTCACTTTAACATCGTGAGAAGGAGTGGAAAGAGAAACATTTAACCATGTTAATGAAGTAACTGTATTAAAACGCAAAAATTCGGACATTTGTTGAAGTGTACAAGGCGTTCGAAGCAAACATTTTAACGACTGAGTTACACTGTCTGTTTAAATGAGTTTTCGAGTTATATTTTATTATTGAAGGTTTTGTATTATAAGTAGTAAAAGATTTGACATATTTGGATCAAATTACAGCTCTCATTGCGAAATTAACTAAACCCAAACTCAAACCCAAACTCAATACTCAAACCCCAACTCAATAACCAAACTCAAATACCCAAACTCAAATTCAATACTCAAACTCACCAAACCCAAACCGTTTGGATTTGGTGCATGCCTATATGTGGATCAGCACTAATTTCAAGAGAAAAATTTGATGATGGCTTCATCGAAGTTTTCATTTGAAATTACGTCATGTAAAATAGTCATTCGTTCATCATCACATTGGATATTAATTTAGCATCATTATTAAGTAATTGTTTCATTAATAAAGTACTGTTCATACGTATTGGCCTCATATACGTAATCGTGTCCACGAATTAGGATCAATTGTATTTATAGGATGTCCTTCTACAATCAATTGTTTAACATGTATAATATTATCTGTTTTTATTAGTTGATGCACCAATGGGTCACTTTTATCATTACGTGTATAGATCGAAGATACATTTTATAATATTGGTTTTTCTATGATTAACAGTTGGTTTTTCCTAATTATCAATTTCTTCTTCAGTATCCGTCTCTTGTTCCTTTTGGTTTTTTTAATTTGGTTGTTTCAACAGGTTTAGAATCATATATTATATGATAAACTTTTCGTGCTAAACAAACTAATTTGATTTTTTCCTTCACTATTGTCGTTTACTTTCTTTCAAATGGGAGCTATTACTTTTTTACCAGCAATTAGACAGTTATTGTTGATGGTGCATCAATATCTTGAGTTTTTTTTTATTTTTGAACATAAATCTTTTTTTCTTTTAAAATCATCAATATAAAAAATCATTTAAAAATATGTTTGAATATTTATTATACGTGTAGTTCTTCGTCCGGACCCGGTTTCTCTTCATCATCGCCTCGTTCTTGGGTTCCGGTTTGTTGATAACCATGTACCTCTACCAATAAAGAAAAATTTTTAGTCAATCAAAGTATTTAATGTTAGCTTACGTGCAGGAACACTGACACCAGGATCTGGCTCAACTGTCTCATAAGAATATAAACCCTGTGCGTTTATATTTTGTCCAATTGCTTCTCTTAAACCGATAGTATATTCATCATCAGTATATAAACGATGTGAAATTCTAAACGAAAAAAAAAACCAATTATCTCTTTAATTTTTGCATTTACTGACCGGTAGTTCTTTAGTGCTATTGTACCAACAATTGCACCAACAACACCAATAATAGCTGACACAAACAATTTCTTCATGTAACTATCCATGATTAATCAAATATAAAATATACAATATACAGATGTAAAAATATCGCAACAATACGAGACGATTAAAAATCTAAAACGCAATGTTCATATGTACATTATAGAAGACAATGACTAGATAATTCGATTGGATAAGACAGTATTATTAAGGTTCCTCCAGCCTCTCAAAAAAAGTTTATTTTCGTCACAAAGGTCCAAATTAAGTTAAATACATAGAAGGATGCCCGATGTGTGATCTTTCACAAACAACATGATTTTTTATTTTGGCGCCTCGATTTGCGCCCAAATCGTTGATGCTGACTGCCGTCTACTGATTAAAAAGTATAGGCTTCAACCATTAACCAATATTTAGCTAAACCATTAAAAACTAATACCGTAAGACGACTTATCTATTTCATTTTGAAACAGACACTTACAATACTAAAGACTGCTCGCAATGAAATCGGACAAGAAGACGTGAAATATTTTACTGATGTACTAAAAGCTAATTTAGTGAGATTGATATTTTATAGATCAATGGCATATTGATGTCCATCATTCAACATAGACCCTTATAGATTTGAATCTTACATTGAACTGAATCAGTGATCAATGAGTACAATATCTGGCTAGTGCATTAGAAAATAATACAGAGGAACACGGCTTTTTTCACACATTTTGTAGGTTATCGTAATCAATCAAATCAATTTCTGACAATACTGAATATGACCCGAAATAACATCATCGATGAAGGAGTACTATATTTAGCTTGCGCATTACAAAAAGAATACATTAACAAGAAAGTTCTTTAATATTTTATTTAATATGAATATTTTTCATTCAAAATAGATCATCACAGCCTTGTATGTTTCTAATAACAAAATTGGATATTAAGAGGAACGCTTTCTTGCTAATCTATTAGCAAACCATAATGTAAAACAAACTCTTTATTCATTTGTTATATACATAACACATATTCTTTACATAAGATATTCAAAAAATTGTATCTTCAATTGTATAAAATCGAAGACAAAGGAGCACAATGTATTATTAACTCTTTTGAAATTAATATAGTGAAACTATTTACTATTTATTTCTCTCATACATTCTAATGCTGTTCTACACAGACACTAGAAACGTTGATTTTGTGTCATAATGGAATTAGTGAAGAAGTACAACATAATTTAACAAATATATTAAAAAATAAAATTTTGCGAGTATATTGGTGGTAAACAGTAATCAACAAGCGTCATGTGAAATACATTACTGTAGTTTTTTTTTCTTCAAATTGTATGGTGCTCTATTCTTTACAAGAATGTTTTTATATCTTTCTAACAGAATTATACAGACCAAGAGAAAAGTAGAATTAATTACATTAATGTTCATATAATTGCATTGATCGTCTCTTTCGAGTGATGCACGTTAACATTGTTCAAGCTATGTTTTTGTTTAACAATGAGTGTACTTTCTCAGTTTAATTGTCAAAAAGATTCTATTCAGTGAATATTATTTCGACTTGAAACCTTTAAACTAAGGATCTGCAGGGCTACTCTATCTTCAGTGGGTGTGATATCTTCTCTGATGGCGTAAAATTTGCGTTAAATGCCACGTTGTTACGAGATAATCCTTTTTTCGTAAACAACAGGGTCGTCGAACACATAAATGTGGAGAATCGTCGAAGTATTAGTCAGTTATAAAAAATAATGGACCTTGAAGAAAGAGAATAGTAGTATTCATCCTGGCCGTGCAAGCTTTTTCTAGCTTAGTGATACTCCTAGAATATGAAATTACATCTTTCACTAGTGCACGTATTACTCAGCGCCAAACCAGCGCTAAGAATTGTTTTCTGACCAAGATCGGGACCAAAACGGTTGGTTCTACCCATCACTAAGAAAAGTAGAGGCGTTCCAAGTTATGAGAGTGTTTGGGTTAGAAGCTTTTCACAAATTTTTAATTACTTTGATTGAAGTCAATTTTTTCCTTGAAAGTTTTTATATATTCTTTAAAACTCGTCTTTCGATCTCCCAACATTACTTAAGGGCTCTCCCTCTCAGAAAATCCGGTTTTTCGAGAACAGCTGAAAGTTGACATTTCACCACAGAAAGATGCAGCGAAATTTCCTCTTTCAGAATATATATATAGCATTTTGCAAAACGACCAAATTTTAACAGACTTTCGAAGTAAATTTCGACCCTACTATCATGATTTTTCAGAAATTTTCATGGTTTTTAAAAAGTTTTCCAGTTTTGAGAAAACTGTCTATTTATTTGTATCACCATTGAATCAATCATTATATTTACTTAAGTATGACTTGTAGTGGTACTCTAAATTTTAATACGACTTTTCTTGTATTTCAATGAAAAAATCGGTTTCTAAAGTTTTTTATCGTTTTTCTCAAAATATGATTTTCAGGCAGGAAAATTGAAATAACTCCTGCTAGGCTCGGAGTATCATCGATATTTTTTTATTTTATTTTAAAGGTCTGAATGAGAGCTAACTTTTGATCGGACGGATTTTTGATACTAAATTCCAGAAGTAAAAAAAGTGAGATTTACTGTCGTGGAGTGACATTTTTTTGTGCTTATTTGGAACATCATGCCCACCAAAAGGCTCATAAAAAATGAACGGAAGGGAGTTTCAAAATTCTTTTCGGTGAAAAGTTGCGCACAGTGGCAAGATTTAATTTGAAACCAGTCCGAGCTCTGTGCCTCTTATAATGATGGAGTTATTTCGATTCTTCTGGAAGGTATAAAAACAAGCCGAAAGTTCGATTTAATGGGGTATATCAGGCTGAAATTTTTACCACAGGCGTTTCTCACTAGGACCATTCATTGCTGAAAGTTTCAGTCCAAACGACCCGTTCTAAGTGGTAAATCAATTCTGAGGGAGACCCTTAATATCGGCACGGGACTTAAAGGTACTCGGTTAAAAATGGAATAGGTCAAGATCGCAAGTAGCTACCAATCAGCAGTTTTCAGCACTCGAAAGAGAAAACATGGAAGTATCTTTTTCTTCAATAATATATAGGACCAAATCATTTTGAAATGGATGATTTCTGCAAAGTACTCAAAAAAAATCTATCAAAATGATCGGTCACTCTGATAAAATAAGCAAATTTTCTTATTCTTTCTCAAAATTCCATCAGAAAGACAAACTATTTTCATACATTTTTTTGAATATTTTTCGGAAATCATTGGTTTCAAAATGATTTTCTCCTATATATATTATTGGAGAAAAAGATGTTTTCATGTCTTCTCTTTCAATTACTGAAAACCCCAGATTGATAGCTGTTTGCGTTCTCGGCTTATTCAATTTTTAACCGAGTACGTTTAAGTCCCATGTCGACATTAGTAATAATAATAATAATTTATTCTGCTCAGGAGATCTGAAAAACCAACCTTTGTAGTGTATTTAACAACTCGCTGTGATCTATCATTTGAGCATATATGCAATCCGAAAGTGATTGAATAGTTGGGGATGTTGTCTCATGAAATCACACTTATTTTTGTCCCTTTAAAACTCTAAAATTTCTTTCCGAATCCTCAAAATCATTTTAGTTTTTCAACGTAATCTTTAAAAATCCTATGAAAATAGATCGAACACAATAGAAGCCGAAAGATCTTCGGTTTTCCCAAGGTATTTACGTCATTTGCCGATAGAATCAATTGAAAATATGTGAGAAAAAAACTTATCAATGTAGTTCCGTTACAATTGAAGTGTGCAATTCTTGTGTCCTTTAGCTTCATTCTTTTATTATAAAATACGTCGAGTGAAAAATCTCTCGAAGACTATAGTTGTTTTTGTTTACTGAAGCTTTTTTTCTGACTTTAACATTATTATAATTCTAATTATTGATTTAAATATCAAATAAATCTGTTCTATATATATATATTCATGATACCTATGTCGGAAACAGGTCTCAACACACAATTATATCTCTCGAAAGTCTCATAAACACTCATATTGATTACGTTGCAAAGTTCAAACTCGATCAGTTCTTAATATTTATGTTGATCATATGACGATCGAGCCGAATCGATCGAACATTGCCTCTCATCGTTGACATATTGAATATAATTGTTTATCTCTAATAAAATAAGAAACTGTACCATTTCGAATGTTTACAAATGTATTTCATTCATTTCATCTTCAAATAAGACTTTGGAATGCTTTAGAACACACAATGACTTTTCCTAATTTAAACTTGCTCTGACTATCTTTTTTCCGAAAAAAATTTTTCAATTCCAGAAAAATAAAGAGTTTTAGTTAATATTTGAATAAATTGTTAGTGATTATATTGAATAACAAACAATGTAATATAAATCTATATATCTATATATATAAAGAAGAATGTTTGTCTGTTTGTTTGTTTGTCTGTTCGCTATGCATTCCCAAACGGTACGAGCAAATGCAACCAAACTTTCCAAGAATGTTCCTCTCACCCAGGGGAAGGTCGAGGTCTACTTTTTTTTCAAAAAAGTTGGTCCTTCGCCCGGAAAAACCTGCCTATATTGCTAACCAATCAGATTGCAGTATTCAGTATTGTAGAAGTACTGTTGAGTACCACTTCGTGAACACACAGAAATAAGGAACCAGAGGTTTTCGAGGATGGTGAGTTCGAATCTGGTGTCCATTTGCCTCGAAATTTGATTGGTTGTTTGGAAACCAATAGGAACTCAGCTCTTCAGAAAACAGATCCAAACGCTTATACTTTCAAGGAAATGATGGAGTAGGGGTTTTTAGACGTGATAAGTTCGAATATGAGGTCCATTCGCCTTGAAATCTGATTGGTTGTTTGGAAACCAATAGGAATTCAGCTCTTAAAAAAACAGAGTCAAACACTTATACTTTCAAGGAAATGATGGGGTAGGGGGGTTTTAGAGGCAGTGAGTTCGAATTTGAGACCCATTCGCCTCGAAATCTGATTGGTTGTTTCGAAACCAATAGGAATTCAGCTCTTAAGGAAACAGACCCAAACACTTATACTTTCAAAGAAATGATAGGGCAGGGGATTTTTTGAGGCGGTGAGTTCGAATTCGAATGTGAGGTCTATTTTCCTTGAAATCTGATTGGTTGGCCGAAAACCAATAGGAATTTAGCTAATAAGAAACCAGCTAATCAAAGTTGGGTTTTTAGGAGAGAAGTCAGGTAAGGGTTCTAGAGGCAATAAGTTCGATTTAGGGATCTAAGCACTGAATGTGGGTATAGGGTATGGAAGCGAGTATCTTCTGTTTATATAAATAACAATATTTGTCGGTCTGTTCTTTGTGCATTTGATTTCGGTAATAACTAGCGCTATCAAACTTTCCATGGTATGCTCTTTAGTCGAGAGAAAAATTGAGAGGAGATTGGTGCGACAGACAAGGAAAGGAAGGTAATTGGATGTAATGCCACCCAGGTTGTGAAAATTGGAAATTGTCTAATCTCTATCTCTAATATACGATACGAAAAATAATCTTGACACCCTGTGCAAAGAGTGAGCATGTATTCATACCACGAATACTCATAGTTCTTACTGATATACCATTTGAATTCAAGCGTCTTTAGTTTCCTGTACGTCTTGCCTTCGCGATGTCTATCAACAAGACTCAAGAGTAATTACTTAAGGTGGCTGGTATTAATCTAGAGAGTCCTTGCTTTTCTCATGGCCAACTTAACGTAGCATGCTCAAGAGTTGGAACTGGGAAGAATTTGTATGTTTCAGACTCTGGTGCGAAAACCAAGATGGTTGTGTATCAAAAAGCTTTGCAATAGACGTTGTATTTCATTAAGCAGTCTTTTCCAATAAAAGGAAGTCGATCAAAAAAAAAGAACACTGAAAAGGATAGAAATGTTTTTAAAAAATTAAAAATGGTGAAAATATCAGTTGAAAAGGGAAAGTGATCTGAACATATTTTGCGATATCGAATTCCAATAGTTGATAGGTGATCATAACGACGTCTTTTTCTAATATGTCAAATATATATTATAAAATTATCTCGACTACCATTGGATACCTCCGCTAGTATATATATATATCATACTGGAAAGAAAAAAAAAATATACATTGGAAAATAAGTTAGCGTCATGACGTGACATCTATTGACGCTAACAATTATACAATAAAACACAAAGAAAAGTTGCATATACATTTTCACCATCACTTATCATTTTGATTATATCATCATCGTTATTATTTTGCCTCTATCACCAATCATTATTATTTTGATTGTATCATCATCATTATTATTTTGCCTATATTACCATTATTATTTTGACTATATCATTATTATCATTTTGATTATATCATCATTATTATTATTTTGACTACATCATCATTATTATTTTGATTATATCATCATCATTATTTTGACTATATCATCATCATTATTATTTTGACTATATCATCATCATTATTATTTTGATTATATCATCATCATTATTTTAACTATATCACCATTATTATCATTTTGATTATATCATCATTATTATTTTGACTATATCATGATCATTATTATTTTGATTATATCATCATCATTATTTTGACTATATTATCATTATTATTTTAACTATATCACCATTATTATCATTTTGATCATATCATTATCATTTTGACTATATCACTATCACTTATCATTTTGATTATATTGACCATTTTTGTTATAAAATGACAACGAACAAAAGAAAACGAATAATTGCTATTGATAGTTATGAATTTGAAGGATTTGTACGAACTCATCTTTCAAAAGATTTAGCCGATACATTAATTCTCAAACTTGGCATCAGATCGTATAATGGTTTTGTTAAATGTGATGATTTAAATGGGGAATTACTTGCAGTTCATGATTCTATACATGAACAAGATCGATTAAATATATTTTTATATAATGATACATTATCTTCATCAACACCAAATGGAATAAAAAAGGGTATTTTACGGGAGCTTCAACTTTTTCAAGAAGAATGCAAAAAGCAAATCAACAATAAAAAAGAGAATGGAATCAATTCAGGTATAGATATAGACTAATACACAGAGATCAATGATAAGCGTAGTGGACGTTTTTGAATCAAAGTTTTCCAAAAAAATATTTGTAAAATTGTTGTTTTCGAAAAAGTCAGCATCCATTTATTTTCGAGAAATCACAATAATATTGGGAAAAACTTTTTTAATGCCCTATGCCCAATATTTTTTATGCATAACAATACGCTTGTCCTATGTTTATTGGTTTATTAAGCCTTTTTTAAAACATAACAACACAAAATAACGTTATTTACTAAGCGTAAAAGCTACAGAATTCATTAGTTTCGAATATTTTGATTCATAAAAACGTTAAAAAGTTGTTTTTTTTTGAAAAAAAAACACAAGAAAAATATTTTATAGGTAAATATATTTCGTACTCTGAGAAAAATGAATTCTATTTAGTATAAGTATGACTTTCATTGTATATTCTTCAAAAATTCGCTAAGACAAACAATATCCATTAAATAATGTATGAGTTTCATAAGAGTTTTTCTTCATTTTTATCGAGCATGTATTAGCTAGCTAAAATTTATAACTATGAAATACTAGCAGAACTGAAATCGATCCAGACTTTCAATTTAAAGGCAGATGGGGCGGCCTATTACCTTACAGGTCATAAGAGTTTAAAGGAGAGCAAACATTTTCTTTACTGAAAAATAGGTGGTACAATTTATGTACCACCGCCCCCAAAGGGTTAATCTTCTGTCTGATGTTATTAAGAGTTGAAACATTTTCTATCTCGCTTGTTTCAGCCACTAAAACAAGTCGATTCACTAATAAAGCAGACTATTCATCTATGTTTCATAGCCACTTGAAAACTATTGAAGATAAACTGTTTTTTTTATCAAGAAGAAATAGGGTATATGTTGGGATCAAGCGAGTTGGTCTATTCATACTCAGATAGTATATTGGTTTCAAAATTTTCATTTATTTCATTAATAGGAAACAGCAGCAGTACCCAACCCGAATGTGAACCACATGATGCTTCAAAACGGTCAAAGAGACACTGTGATATTTGTCGAACAACTATGTGTAAACCTCGAACCAATGATACAATGAACGACGAAAAATTCAAATATCGAGAAGTATGTCGCCTATTTTATGTTTCATTATGGTTTTTACCTCTGATCTTATTCTATATTGTAGAAACCAATTACAAATGAAGATAGTGGAACGGATTGGTCTTTCCATCAAGAAGAATTGTTAAATTATGAAACACACTCTGATGATTTGAAAATTGTCGATGATTTTATTGTTAAAGAAGCAACACACATTTATGTTACTCAACAGCGAATTCATCATTTTTTCCATAAACACATGAATATCAAGTCTGACGGTAAACATCTGTTTTATTTTTGTTTATTAACAGTGGTATCTAAATATAATTTTATTTTGAAATCTCATCCCATTAGATTTTTGAAAAAAAGACACGAATGCTAAGAGGTTTCTGCGAAGTGTGATCTGTTTTTTTTAATTGATCTTCACTTGATGAAACCCTGTTGTGTTATTTGGTATACTATCAAAGTGATTTTTCAAATGTTTCTGTCTTAAAAGCATAAGCAGATGCTATTCTTACCAGCAACATCTATACGAGATCTTAAAGTAATTAATAAATCCAGAATATTTCTAACATGATATGGTGCAGAACCGAATAAGGAACATAATTATCACACGATCATTGAAACTATTAACATAACCTTGCCATTTCTCCAAGAACTACTTCACTCAAAATAATAGAAAGTAGAACAAGCAAAACTTGTACAGACTAAAGTATATTTTTTACAGAAACTTGTTCTAACAAGAAGTATCTAATTCAATAGTCAACTAAATTTATAACGTTTTGATCCATATAAACTATCGTAAAAGGATCCATTGCTTCGAAACCATGCATCAACTACTTTACTGCAGTAGAATCTGCTAACAACGAAGTGCATGATACAGGAGCTAACAACTTAACAACTGAGCATGTTTAAAATAACATTCTAACAATTATAGTAAACCGCATTAAAGACAATACTCATGATAAGCTTTTTTTATTCGTTTACGAAGTGACAAGCTACGTTGTACAACATAAAAAGAATCTCGGTAAAAATTTTCAAAACTTGAGAACATGCTTTCGAAATAAAGGGAAACATCAGATTTCAAGACATGAGATATCATAATTTTTTTTTCGAATTTCATAATGTTGTGTAGTCTACTGCTTTATCTTTGACTCGAATTCAGAAGTACTTTATACTCTTTTTCCTTAATAGATTTATTATCAGAAACATGTTTTTGTTAGGAACCAGAGAAAAATAAGAGAATTTAGGAAACCCACTAAATAATTATAAAAGTGGCTCATGAAAAAACATTCACTATCACACAACTTTGACTTCTCACGTCCGAATCGCAGTTCGACTCATATAGTTTGTTTTGATTGCTCTAAAGATTTTCGTAGAAACACATCTAAGAGTTGTAAAACTCTGAGTTCCGTCATCTCTAAGAAGCTGCCTGTGTGTTTCAAACTAGACGTGACGTATTATTTATCTGTCGAGATATCATCATTGGTGTATATAAAACTTTCCGAGTATTTGTCGTAATCCACGCTTAAAACAGAACTACTGAGATATTGTACACTATAATTCATTTTTTCCTGAAGAAAGTTCTCTTTTCTCAACCTGTTATATGAACGATAGTTCTCTGTCTTTTTCTAACAAGAAATGTTTCTGTTACGACACAATAGCATAATATGTCATGCGGTTAATGGAAACACAAAATAGTATACATTTTCAAGTTTTGATGAGCAAGACTTTTCTTGTTTTTACACTACGCTAAAAATATCCGTTTCTAAACACTCTGTTTCTATTAAATTATTTTATACTGCAAATAAATTGTTCTTTGTATTATTATGATATTGAGGTTATATTGGTCGACAAAGTTGTAACTTCTATATGACATATACATGTGAAAAAATTCTGGCATTTTAGATGTTTTTCTTGTTGTAGATATACAAAAGTTTGTATTCCTGCTACAATCCACACTTGAATGGCATTTAGAACAATTATATGAATATACAATGAAAACTCGAACTATAAAAGTATTGTTTGATCAATTCGTCAATGAATATCACAAATTCAATTTGGAAAAGCATGATGGCATGAAAAAAAAAGTTGATTGGCTTGTTCATTTTATCCAAAAAACAAAATATGTAAATTTTTTTTCATCTCTCTGTAGTCCTACATCCTGCCTGACATATTCTTGTTTTTTGTTGCAGAAACCAAGTGGCTATAATGATCGATAGAACAATTTTCTGCTTATATGTATTTGGATATCGAATGATGGTGAAATAAAATTTATATTTTTTTTTCTATTTTATATGTGCAACAAACTAATTTGAGAAATAAATTTTTGATTTCTATGTCTGATATATTCTTCTTTGCTTCTTAACATTCGAAAATCCATCATATTAATATAGTAATCAGCTACCAATAGTTGGAAGTATGGAATGATCAAAATAAAACTATATTCATTTTACCCTGAGTGAAGAAATAAAGAGTTGCTATACTTTAATGAGTCTTGTCCTCTGTGAATTTGTTGGATTCCTAATATGCATGATGATTTTGGTCACCAGAGTAATGCACCTGATTACTTATCAACGGAATATTTATTCAGAAATTCTGTTTTGTTTGATGATGGACACTGACAGACAATGTTATTCACATGAGTGTGAAACAACATTGGAAAAATTTTAGTATGAACTTCAGTATATAGCACGATATTATGAATGAATTTGATATAATTTTAGTTTACCAAGGAACTTTCTCACTTGTCACGATGGTTTTCGTTTAAGACTATTGCCATTCGATCGACCATGATGATTAGTTAAAAACTCTCTTTCGATTTGACTTTCTGGTCTTCGCTTGAGGAGATATACATCCGCTTTATTTGATTTTGTCCTATGCAAGCGTAGAATCGCTGAGAATTTGAATGATCAGGTTTTGAGCTGAAAATTTGTCGAACGATAGGCCATATAGTTACTACGTAGAAATTCCACAAAACTTTAACCAAAATGAATATGTCATTATAATGATATATATATTTTAAAGAAACTCGTGCTCTTTAGGCTGTATTTCAAAGGAAAGAGATTTTCATGACAAGTTGCTACCTTGATACAGATGTATTTGTCCTAGCTCAAAATCAAATAGACTATAGTTTTTGGTACCAATGAATGTCAATATAGAAGTATTTTGTTTTCATTGTAAAAGTGCATTTGTATGAAGTGGATATCAAGTTGGTTTTATAAATACCATAAAAGTGTTGTGTATTTAATAATTGTAATTGGTTGTGTTAACTATGTCGATATACTTCACTATAAATATCTTTTTCATGGTAACCAAGCTTTTGTAAAGAATTCTGATTTTTTTTTAATGACAATATCAATCAAATACTTTTCTCACCTTAAAGATAAACTCTTAACAAAATTCATCGATGGGTCTAGCAATGTTATTTAAAAGGTTAGAATATTTTGTGAATATTTTTATGAAAAAATGTTTATTTACTACTGTAAGATTCGATTTTCGTAAATATTCTTTGAAAAATCGACTCTCTTATTAAAAGAGCTGATGGAACAAGTTTGAAAATTAGATTTTCATTTTTATCTGGTGAATTTCGAGTTATTTAAATTTTTTGTCAATTAGTCTTGTTATTTTGCAAAAAATTCAAATTCTTTCTATCACATAAAATTGATTCATTCATATATATAAACTTTTCGCAGCGGGTGTCTCATATATGGGACGGTGACATGTTTCTTTTGATATAAGTGTCAAATCGTACTCGAAACTGCAATTTGATACTAGTACTTAACGGGTTCTGTCTATTACTATGAGAGGCGGATTTAAAGAGATCGAAGTCATACAGCTAAGACGCACTTTTGATGCAAAACTTTCAACGCCCGTTCATGGTTTGCTTAAAAAATCTTGAAAAAAGTAAGTCTGTTTTTTTTGGCCTGTAGGACTTATACTTATGCACTCTTTTCCCTTTCTTTCCTTCTACCAGTGTTATAGTATGGCATCATCACACTTTCACGGTTTGTGATCCGAAGCAGAAAACAAAAACGAGCCATGAATGCAGAAAATGCAATGTTGGCTTATGCGTAGCGCCCTGTTTTGAAACCTACTATATATCCAAATACTTCTAATAAAAATTATATTATAAAGAGCAAAAGTCCCATTGGATGCTGAAGCTTCTACCAATGAAAAAGACCACTTCGACTCTCAGGCGCTCAAGATTTCTACAGATTGTAATAAGGACTACTTTTTCATTAAATATGAACAAGTTTCTCACTAAAAATAACCCCGCTGCGAAAGGGTTAAAAGTTTGATCACTATTTATTTCCTATTTAATAAAGTATGAGCTTATAAATACAATATGAAAATATTTTCACCCGAGCTGTTTAAATATAACTGATGAGAATGATAGCAGAAATGTTTGTCTCCCTATTATTCGTAGAAAAGAGTCTATAGATAGAAAAAAGCGATGAATGCAGTACTAATAATATAGCTCATCATCAATAGGTTTGATCTAATAATAAGAATACGAGCTATCTTAAATGGTTTAAATGGTGCTATTCAAATCCCGGTGGTAGTTATCATTACGGTTCGTCAATATTGATTGAAGATAATGAAAATATGTGTTAGCACAAATCATTACACTATTAAAGCCCGATTTGAATCGCTTTGGAAAGACATTATTCAAAATATAGAAATTTAAAATTATTGTTCAAAAATCATTCAAATCAATATAAAATAAATATTTCTTCAAATTTTTTTATTGCTTCAAAATGAAATTGAAAAAAAATCCTATAAATAGAACGTTTTCGATATAATAAAAATGATCAATCGGATTTATTTGACAAACTTATATTGAATCTCATATAAAAAGTAGCCAAAATATTGGTACAAATTGCCAATAATTCTAAAAATCATGTTTATAGTTTTGGGTGTAGGTGTTGGTCTTCACGTCACTCGCACCCACACTTACATTTACAGTCACAAGATCATAAGAAAGTTGAGAGTGGCAAAAAAATGTTGTCAACATCAACCGTGAATCTGGTAGTTCTCAAATATATAATGACTATTAGTTCCATCAGACAACATAAAAAGAAAAGTCAAATATAGGATTTTTTTACAACAGACTTCGCTCTATCGATTAGTATAACTACTAATAGTATAAATCATGTTAGCAAGTTAACAAACTGGACGAAGAAAATTTCCAAAACTCGATGTTTTTTGGTATACTTTATCTATGTCTCGTAAAGTTGAGTTATCAAAGTCATCAGGAGACTTCATGCACAAGGACTCAGCATACGAGTTTTATGGCTAGCTTTTTGTGCTCTTTCAAATCTAATAGTCAATTTCAAAATGTAAATTTTTTTTTGGCACTAGATCCTTACCAGTGTAGGTGATAGTTTCATGAACCTCTCTTAATCATTTGTCTTTCAATGAAAAATCGATTCCATTCAATTTAAATAATCCTTAATAATTCAATTTCTCAAGATTTCGCTACATCAGTAGACATGACGAATATCTTTCTTTAACGAAAGCATGAAACATACTATTTTGAAATCAACTAGCGTCCTTTAAAATAATGAGCAATCTATGTAATATATGAATTTTTTTCTTTATTATACTGTAGTTATCTATTCAAACAGGAATAATAAATTATGAAATAAAATCAAATATAGAATTCATCTTTCCATATAACAGCTTGCATCTATTTATTTGCATTTACTTTCAGGTACATGTAAATCAAACACACTCTTTGGTACAACAGATGGTCCAACTGTATAGTTTCTAAAGACTGATATAAGAATAATATTGTCCAAGGTTTCTATTAGAATATTATCTTTGACAGAGGCAAGGTAGTTCTACGTCCAAGATTGAATAGTCTTATTCCACATATAACATTCAATATGTGGTGGAGTAATGGATTTTGTTTTTCCAGCATAGGATAATATTTGCCATTCTGCTAACATATCTGCATCATTCTCGCTGGTTTTAGTACATCGAGGAGAATTATCATCATAGTAAATAAGATATCCACTTTTCTTGCCTCCATAATAGAAAGCTTGTTCAGTGAGACGACCTTCATTAGTTACATCAATGCGAAAGAGATCTGCAAAACGATCTACATAATTTGTTGTCACTTCGATTTGTGGCGCATGTTTAGGCTTTCCGGCAGTAATAGTGAACTGTTGCGGATTCGGTGGCGTAGGAATTTGTATGAGAAGAGTTTCATAAATAAGTGAAAAGATAATTAGAATCTTGATGATCATATGTTTATTTGTCATATATATTCTTTGATTGAATAATCTAAAATGATTTTAATTTAAACAAAACATAAGGTTATATAAGATTTTTCTGCTGTTGTCATTATTTCAAGGTATGATTATCAAATTCTAATGTTATAACGTAATTCTGTTGTCGTTATTCTTGTTATCAACTATCGTTGTCTATGACTCAGAAGCGTTATCACGAAAATTGTGAAGAAAAGAAAAACTAAATAATCTAGATTTGTTTTCTAGAATGGCATCATATGACAAAGCTGTTTCGTTTTATTTTAATCAGTTTCTTGCATTGCACCTGTTATTTATTTATTTCGTATAGATAATATCGACACGAAATGACCTTTAACATATTATATTCTATAAGATGAATAGAAATTGTTTAATCATGATGAAAAAAACGCATCAGTATTGAATAATAAGTTTTAAGATAAATACGTTAAAAGTGAACCTAATCGACGTACTAGAATGTTGAAGGTGATTTGAAAAATAAAGTAACGTTAACATAATATATAGATTAGTTTTTTGAAGAAGTTTCAAATTTTCAAGATTTGGTTTCTGAATCTGAAATAGTAAAGAGAAGTTACTTAACAATAGGTGACGAACAATTCATTAGTGTGAGATTTCTTTAATTGAAAAATAATTTTATGAAATAGAAGCATCTTATTAGGCTTTAATAAGAAGTTTTTCAAGTTCAACAATTTCAATCTTAAAGTAATTCTTGAAAAAAATTTCAATTCGGAAATTTCGAGAAAATAATTATAGATTTAGATTGGTTGACATAAAAAACCTTCAGTAAAATTCTTTGAAATATTCTTATTTTCGAAAAGAAAAAAAGTTTTTCTTAACCGAAACAAGAAACTGATTATAGAATAAATAGAGGTTTGATACGGATATAATTTTATTCGATTGATTGATCATTCTCACAAGATTAGAGAAAGAAAGATAACTTTCTGGCAACATATTTCACTTTCTATTTATCTTATAGATTGATGAAAAATAAAGTTACAATATTGAATATAATAACATTAAGTTGATAGAAAATAATATCAACTTTTTTTTTTTTGATTATCTTTACTTTTACTAATTTTCTTCAATTAGTATTTTATGATTGACTTCCAAATGGTCTTCATTTTACTCAACTAGTTTTATCATATTTTGATTTGTTTTTGTTGAGACAAGGTTAACATAAGATTTATTCGTTTTTATTTTCTCTATTCTTTTTAGAAATTCTCAATTATTGATCATTGATTTAAATAATAATTATAATAAAATGATTTGTTTTCATGGAAATCAACTATTAATACTTGTTTTAAATCTTTAGAAAAATAAACAATTGTCTATTAACCGTTTTTATTGGAATTTTTCAAAGAAAAAAAAACCATTTTAGACAACGTTACCATCTGATAATGATTCTCATGAGATTTTTTTTGTTTAATATTAATAAACACATATAAATTGACTAGTTGAATCTTGTAACTAAATGAAATGATTTTGAGTAAAATAAAATAAATTTTATTTTTATTTGAATAAATTGATCGATAATACTTTTATTAAAATGATCAATGAAGAAGAAAAAAACAAAATATATATGTGAATATAAGTTAATCAATTATGTTTGTTCGTTTCTTTTTTTTTTTTCATAAAAATATTTGATAAGAAATTTTTTCTGAATGATGTTTATGTTTAATTCGATCGATTGATGATTGCCATTTGTTTATTAAATTCTTCTAATTAATTAATTTTCTATCTTATTTATTTCTATATATCTATTCATATTATTTAAGTAAATTCTAATGCTCTTATATACTTCTAATTTTACTTCAAATAATTATCAACTCATTATTAATTATTTTCTCTAATATTCGAACTTTAATTCGTATATTTAAATTAAAATATCCCTATCTTTCACAATTTTCAAATGAAATCCTTCAAAAACTGAGATCACACTTGTTTATAGGTTTTTATAACGTTAAAAATCTCTTTTTTCAATCTTCAAAATCATTTTTATTTTTTGGAAAAGTTTTTTAATAAAAACTAAGAAAATGCATATGATACAAGAGAAGACGAAGGGTAACCTTTTTCTCCGAGATATTTAAGTCATTTGACAATAGAATCAATTGAAAAAATGTGTTCTTTACCCTGATTATTCTAACACAAAAGATATTAAATGAAAAATCTCTATGATCTATCTTTATTTATTTCTAAGTTTCGAACACAAATTGTTTCTTTTTTTTGGTGTCGCTCTCTTGTTGGTTTGCCTTGTTGTTATTCTCTCGATGCTTTTCAATATGATATTCCGTTATCCTTAATTTAACATAATTATTATTCTAACCGTTGATTAATCTTTCATATAGACCCTTTCTAAACATCGAATCAATCGGTTGGGGATCTTAATGCGTTATTGTGAATGTCGATAGTAAGTTGATATTATACTGATATTAATTATTTATCAAAGTTCAATAAAGACTTTGGAATGGTCTAGAAGAGAGAAAGTCTTATTCTTAGTGGAGTTGAATACCTTTTTCCGTTGGTCTAAGAAACGATGAAAAGGAGGAAGGAGAAAGGAGAGAATCCATAAGAATTGTCAATTTAAACTTGATCTAAGAATTTTTTCGTAAAAAATCTGTGAGTAGAAGAAAAAGAAAGGAGTTTTATTTAATATCTAAATAATTTGTTAATGATTATATTGAATAACAATCAATGTAAATCTAGATGTATAATATAAGAAATAATATTTATCGATTACAAGCAAATTGTTGAAGTCTATTTCGTTTATTTTTTGTTGTATCTTCATTATTATTTTCAGTCTCATCAATTTTTCTTTTTCCACTTGATGAATTTTCTTCATTTTCAGTTATTGTTGTTGTTGTTTCAACATTAACATCACTCTAAATGAATTTTGAAAAAAAAAAATAAAAGTTTAAAAAAGAAAATAGAATGAAATAAAACCTGAGGTATTGTTTTATTTGATGATGGAAGACGAGATTTATTAATAGATGGTTTCCATTGACTTAATTCATCATTTGTTGATGTTTCATTAGTTGAATTTGTTAATTTCTTTTTTCGAAATGGATTATTAAATGGAACATTTGTTATTTCGACTTTTGATCGAGTTTGTTTTAATTCTTCAAATGATGATGAAAATGAAATAGTTGATGATGAAATCGAAGAATTATTTGATGACGAAATATTCGTTTTGTTCGTATGTTTTTCTTTTTGTTCTTCATCTTTGTTGTTTTGTTCAATTAAATCATCAATTATTTTTTGAGCTAATGTTAATTTTCCTGATTTGGTTGCATATTTAATTGCTAATTGAAGTGCTATTGAATCCATTAATTGACAAATTTCAAATGCACGATATTCTCGATTTGATTTACATGATAACTAAATAGATTTTATTTAAATTGATTTAGAAAACAAAAAACGATTTTATTTTAAAATCTTACAGCAAACATTTTAATTAAAGATTGTCTTTCATTATTTATATATTCATCATTATCTATTGAATTATTAAATAATTTTATTTTAAGATAATCACTCTAACCAAATAAACCAAAACAAGTTAAATAAAATAAAATAAAATAAAAATGAAATCTAACTTCAAGTTGACTTTTTTCTGTATTTATTTCATATAAAGATAATGGAATCGAAATAATTGAAACAATTGGCCATGGAACAAGTTCAGGATATGATTGACCACGAAGTTCAATAACACGTAATTGAAGTTTTCCATCAAAATCATTTATTCCTAATAACCAATAATTTGTTATTTTATTTTTTTCAGCCTAATTTTACCAGAATAAAATAAATAAAAAGATTTTTTCTTTTAATTTAAAACAAACTTCTTGTTTAAGATTTGAAATAAGCAATGGTTCAAATTGATTAGTTTTTGTACGTCTAAGCATAGTTAAATAACCAGATTTTTCCAAATAAAAACATTTTCCACTATCAGAAAAACTAAAAAAGAAAAAAACGTTTAATTAAAATAAAAAAAAAGAAGATCAAACCCAATCCAAATTAATTTTGTTTTTGGTGTTAATGGTAATGGACCTGTTAAATAATAATCATTATCAATGTCAATATAAACATATGACATAGCTTGTTCTTTTGGAAGACCTTTTTGTTAATTAGAAATAAACATTTTATTATAATAAAAGATAGAAAAAGCAAACCTTGTGTTGAATGATGAATAATCCATAATTGATTTTGATAAGAAGTTATTGAAATAATTGGACCTTGAAGACGAATTATTCTTTGTTGAATACCTGATAAACTTATTAAACGTATTAATCTTTGAGATGTTCCAATAATAATAAAATCTTCACATAAATTAACACTTTCGATATTTTCATTATTTTCTGTATTTAATGTCCATTGACGCATATTTGAATCCCATGACTGATATAATAAACATAAAAATTTGCCTGTTTCTGATGAAGCAAGTATAATTGATGATAATGATAAATCAGCAAGATTATATTTATCTGTTTTATTATCAATTGTTATTGAATGATGATATGATACATCATGAAATGATATTTGAATTTGTTGATTATAACATGTTATTGCACCTATATTATTCCATATTAAATAACGACTTTCAAGAAATTTTGATGTTGATGTTGATTGAAATGATTCTTGAATTTCAACTGATTTTTTTTCACTTATTATTGATGTTGCACGTTCAAACCATTTTGGAATTATTTCTTTTTCTTCATCATTATCATTTGATATTGATTCATTTTCTTTAAATATAACAACAAACAAAAACAAAAACATTTTATTTTAAATATTAAATAAAAAATATTTATTAATTTAACCATCATCTTCACTTATTGTTCTCATTTTTTCAACTTGACTTTCTTCCTAAAAATATAATATCAAATATTTTAAATATAAAACAAGAAAAAAAGCTACTTTATCCAATGATATTATTGTAGATTTTGGTATATATTCACATATATCAACATGAGCATATTCACCCTAAAACAAATCAATATACCTAACAATTCACTAGGGAACTGAGGGTCCAAACTTTTTCTTTTTTTCTCAGGCCCAGCTTCAACCTGCTATTTTTTGTTGGGCTCGGTTAGATATTTTTGTGAAGCCGGTGCTTCCCAGATGAGAAATCCAGCAACAAGATATAACTGTACATTGAGTTTTTTTTTCTGAGAGTAGGGAATAAATAGATGAAACCTTGATTCTTCACTTATTCATACACACGAAGGATAATAACTATTCATGAAACAAACGTCGCCTGTGGATTCGACTGGCTCCAAATCTAGAAAGACATGGACTTGCACCTCTCTACAATCCATCAAGGATCATTACAAATAAAAATGTCGGATCCATTATTTCTATTGAATAGAGGGGTACTGAAAGAGAACCATTCTCAAGATGAATCCATACCTTTCATATTATTTAGAATAATAGGACAATATATCGACGCCTACTTCTCTTTTGTAGACACATCTTGCAACAATTGCTTTCTTTATTAGCTAATAATAAATCTTTCTCCAAGAACAATTAATAATATATTTAATCCTTTACTTTCCCGATAGCCAATGGAATGATCAGAGTACCCTGCGTATAAGAGGAAGAGGTTGGATGATCTTTTTATTTTGTTAGTCCACTGAGAATATTATTATTCTTTTTCAATACTTATATTATCTCGAAATCATGTCGGGCCACTATAGGAGGTAAACGGTTAACAAATATTTGAAATATGAACAAGCGAAATTTTTAAAAAATAAGAATAACAAATAAAATCTTTTAATAATCCCTCTCATATCAGTCAACGTCAATTAACCAAGCGTTTCAACATTCATCAATCAACCGTTAGGCACAACTTACGAAAAATAATATCGATTATTATCAGGAAACATCAATATGCTTCGAAATAAAACAATAGACCTCAAGAAAATAACTATGGAAAGTTATGTAAAATGAACGATTGATTGATATTGAGTGGGAATAATACTCTAACAAATCAATATTATTACTCTAATAAACCAATTAATTATCTAACAGTCTTTCCTATATATATTCTTAGCATAACATTATATTTCAATTGATTTGGAAAATTTGTTAGGTCAATCAATTGAAATATTCCCTCTAAGTTTATTAAACAATGGTTGCTCCAAGATGTGTCTAGAAGACTTTTCTCGGACAGTCCCGCATCTGAAAAAATTCTGTTTGTCCTGGAAGAATCTAATGTTTACTAAAGATAAAGAGACATCGATACATTGTTCTATTATTCAATATCCTATGAAAAGTGCGAACATGTTTTGAGTATAGTTAGTTTTTCTATTGTGTCATTTGATTTGTTCATATCTAATTAAAATAAATCTCATCTCATCTGTAAATAAAAATTGATCTTATTGTTTTTATATGATCTATGTTATATCTAAATAACTTACAGCCATTGTAGAACAAGTAAATTGATATTGTTGAGTTGGATTCCATGATAATGAACAAACAGCATCTTTTGATGAATAACTTTAACAAAAAAAGAATATTTTGTTTTTAAAATAAAATAAAATCAACAACGAAAATCTTTTTCTTTGTTCTTACTTCATACAAATATGAAAAGTAAGACGATTAATAATCGATAATTGACCATTAACATAAGCAATAACGAATAATGTTTGACATGGTGAATAACTAATTAAATTAATAACCTAGAGAAAGAATATTTTTTGTTTTAATTCCGATTAAAATAAAAACGAAACAAACTTGATCAATTGAATCATTTTCATAAGTTTTTTTTCTTGTCCATTTTTCAGTTTCATAAAAATGAATTGTATTCTTAACTGGAATAGCTAACATCTATAGAAATATTTCAAATAAAATCTTGATTTAAATTTAAAAAAAAAATACTTGATCATTTTTATCCCAATCGACCTTAACCAAGGATGTTGCAGTTCTAAATTAATTTAATTAGAATAAAAATAAATATATTATAATAATAGATTACTCAATATCATTTGATTTTGTAATAATATTCAATTGTTTTATTAAATTTTGTTTATCAATATTAAATATTCTAACAGAACCATCACAACATGATGTTACCTTTAAAAAAAAAAAAAGAAAGGTTTGATATATACTTAAAAAAAAGACTAAAAATCTTTTTCTTTTTTAATGATTACAATCCATCGTTTATCTTGATAGACATTTAATGAAAGTATTGGTGCTTGATGACCATCAAAATATTTTAATTTATTTGAATCATCATTTAAATTTATCATAACTACTTTAAAATCTCTAAACAAAAATTATTTTCAAAACAAAATAAAGAACTTTTTATTTTTATTAACTTCGTTCCAATAAAAAGTGAAGAATTTGATAAACAAAGTGCCGATACTGGTTGTGTAAAATGAGCAAGACTTGGAAGTGAATCACCATGAGGATAAGAACGAACTTCAAGTTCGTTTCGATTCGTTCCGAGAAATATATGATATTCCTAATAAAAAAGATTTTCTTTTTTTCTCTTAAAACATTTCGAAAATATTTACATGAACAGCAAGACAAAAACATTGATCAGCACAACGAATATGTTCAGTTTGATCTGTTTTCGTATCAAATACATGAATATCTCCATCTTGTCCACATGTTAAAAAATGACTAAAACAATTTTAGTTTATCTTTTTATATATTAAGATAAAAACAAACAAAAATTCCAAACAAACCTTCCATCCTTTGTGTAACAAACATCAGTCAGACCAGCTATTGAATGAGCCGAAACAAGAGATAACATTTTTTATTTTATTATTTCAAACTAGAAATAAAAGAAAAATCTTTCTAGAGACATCTACTCATTTAAATCTTATATAACAATGTTAAACAATAGAAGAGAAACGAATCTTAATCATCGATTATTCATTCGTTCACTGACGCTACTTTATTTCGTTTTTATATTTATATAGACGAAAAATAGGTCGGCCATCTTGACAAATTTTTTCATCATAGATATCGCACAGTTATTCTTTTGTTTATGCTAACTATATAATTCTTTCTGTTCTCTTTCAATTTTTCTTTATCCTCTCAATTGAATAAATCTTATCTTTTAATAAACAAAATCAGTTTTTTATTTATTTATTTATAATTGAATAATTATTTTTTTTTAAAAAGAAAATTCCATTTCATTAACATCAGTTAATTGATTGGTTTTTAGATAAAAATGAAATTTCAATGATTAGATCATCGAATTTAATATTGAATAATAGTTCGTATATATTTTGTTAAACACTTTTATTATCATTTTGAAATCTTTATGTAGTTAAAAGAGTTTCTGTTTAGTGGAAGAATTTCATTTGATAGAGTTGATCAAAATAATCTTTATTTTTCTCTAAAGTTGTCGAATGTTTTTAATAAAACAATTTTGATTGATGTTAATTAGATAATCTTGTATTTTATCTGATAAATGCAAAATAATTATTTCATCATTTATCAAAGTTTCGAAGTAGAATAAAATTATCTTGACATTTTCATAGAATTTTTATTGATAAAATCAACTTGTTTTCTTTTAATAAAGTTATTAACTGAAATAGAGAAGAAAATTTTGAAAGTAAATTTTAATGTTGATCCCATTTGACTTTTGAAAGACTCTTTTAAGAAGATAATTGGAAATCATTTTTCTTTTATGATAAATAATTTCGATAAACTCGTCCTATTTTAATTTAATGCCTAAAAAGATTTATATTTATTTTCAAATTTAAACTTATGTAACTTATCAATAGTTATCTCAACAATACTTTTTATTACGAGAAAGATTTATTTTATAAAGAAGATTTTTTTGTTTTTGACAAATATCTTCAAAGTATAGAAAAAATGAATCATTGATTTTTTATTAAAAGAAATCCAATTCGTTATTTATTGATAAAAATACAATTGATTTTTTCGATTTCTTTTTTCCTCTTTTCATAAAGATCATTTGAAACAAAAAAAACATTGTTTTATAAAACACAAATAATTATTAATATATTCTTCAAATGACACTAGTTTCTCTATTCGATATAGATAATAACATTTTTTAATTGATTAAAATCAACAATTTATTTTATTTTATTATACTGGCTTGCTATTCATCCTACATTTTCCACACTTTTTAAATCACTCCTATAATGTCAGATTTTTCAATCATTTTTCTTATATTTTAATATTTTTCGAAAAAGGTTCCTTATATATTTATGCAAATATCATCATTGGAGTATATACTAGAACGTGCAGATAGTAATGACTCTACATATATATATGTACTGCTTCATTTTTTAATAAGTTGTGATGCAATTGACTTTTTTTTAAAAGTTTTTGCAGATGACTAATCTTTTTGTCAAACACGATCTAAAACAGATGTTGAAATATAGAAATAGAAATTCAACTTTTCACCGAGAGTGGTTTCATACCAGAAGCCAAACAACAAAAATAATTTCACTATTTGTGATAAAACGCTTTTTAAGATAAAGTAAATATATCCTTTGCAACGTCTTTCATCAACTATCACATCAGATGTTATTGAACTTGATTGGATGTCATATCACTGAGAAAATTACAGCTAAATTTAAAAAATATTTTGTCACTTGGCTATATACTTTGTGTCCCTCTTCACCACAGGCATGACAGATGCATCAACAAGAACATTTCACAAATGGTGAAAACACCTAAGTAATACCCTCTCTCTTTCATCATATAACTTTATAACGGTTTGTCAATGCTTCTTTTCCATCGTACACTGTGATGAATATCTTCTAGAATGTCCATTCCTTCCTCATCAATCATGACGAGCATATCGGTGACACTAACCGAATGTAGTATTAGTATGATACATGGATGGATTTAAGATAGCTCTCTTTTCTTCTTGTTTCATAGTGATTGAAATATATTATGATTAACATCTGTTTTAATCGACCAACATTAAGAGTAGAAGGTAATTCATAAACCGAAACATGTTCATGGATTTTCTTTTTTTAACAATGATAGCAGGTCAATCGTGTTTCAAATTTTGTTTCCACTGAGATTGCGGTAACAACTTTTTATATTTTTAAATATTTTGTTTATATACTTTGACGTCTGTCAAATATAATAATAGTAATTTGAAGACATTGTTGATACTGTAAAAGCAAAAAAAATAGTCGAGATGTTATTAAAAATCTTTGTTCAGTTTAAAATGAAAATTTATGGTGGAACTATTTTCCATAATTTGAACGTATTTTGTATTTAGTTGATCAGACAGCATGTACGAGAAAAACAAACTACAATCTTAAGTATTCTTGGAAGGTTTGTTAGAACTCTGAAGATATGTCCTAGAGATAATCAGTGTTCTATATAGTTATAGAAAATTTCATATAAAAATGATACTTTTCAATTTCGATTTTTTTTTGCAGAGTGACGCTACAAGGCTAGATTTAATCTTGATTCTTCTTAAAACAAAGATCAGTTTATCTGTCAATCTATATGATAAAAATATTTCTAATTTAGGTTATTATTTTAATGAATAGATTCATTTTGCGTATGCAATATAAATAATTATATCAATAAGATATATTGACGTTGTTTTTTTAGGAAGAGATTTTAATAAAATAGAATTATTTGTTTTATTTTCATGTATTTTAATTAGAAAAAAAACCAGACAAGATATTTTTCTATTTTAATATAAAAACATTTTGAGATTTTCGTGAATAGTTTCAGAACAAATAAATATTCGAAATGTATCAAATTGATTATTTGAGTCTTTTAAAAATATATAATTTTTTGTTTAAGTTTAACATCAGTGAAGTAGTCAAATGTTTGAGAGTAGAGAACAATTTCCCATCGAGATTATATTCATGTGTAACCAAATATGGACAATAGTCAACAGTTTAAAAATAAAAATAAAATCATTAAGTCATTTTTCATTAGCATTAGAAATTCGTGAGCAAGAACGTTTTTTTGACCGATTGTCTACCGAGAAATGATCAGTCTATGAGTGAAGATGGGATTATTCAAAATTGGTTTGTCAAATAAATGATATTATCTTTTAGTTTATTATTAAACATGAAGAAAAAAAAAACGAAAAATCTTATTTGAAAAAGTAAATATTTATGATGGTTGAATCATTATTGCGCTAAAAATAAGTAAACCTGTCGTAATAAAACTTAAAATATTACTAATTAACATAAAATAAATTGAATAACCGAATTGATTTACATTAAGATCTCTTGGATGTAATAAATAACTGAAAATAGAGAGAATAATACTAATTATAAGTAATAGAATAGTTAAATAAACTAAAATAGGATCATTTTTTCTATATCGTCTTATTGTTGATAAAATAAGAGAAATAGATAAAATAACAAGAGCCGATACAGCTAAACCTTGTGATTTAAAATAAGGTTGTTTATGACAACTATCTATGTTCAATGAAGAATAAGATAAAGTTGATTGACGATGACAAATAACCCATAAACCTTCATTAAATTCATTAGATAAACTTTGATACCAATAATTAGTTGTTATACCAATTAAAGCAAACCCCAAAGATACAACAAGGATAATAATAATAAACAATTGCATGTTGACGACAACTGTTTTTTTTCTTTTAACAGAATACTATTCTACTATGTTAGCTAAATTATTATGTTATTGATCAGATGCCTTTCTCTCTCCTTTAACCATCTAACATATCTCAAACCAAAAATAGACATTACCCTTTTTTTCTTTCCTTCTCTAAACATATTCTTGACAATGTCGACAGTTATTCTTACACATCGTATTACGTTGACATAAACAAATATTTCTTTTCTCATCATTCAGAACCTTATTCAATATAATAAACAATCTTCTAACGTCAATGAACTATTATTGTACTTGGATTGTTCTAGGGTTTTTTTTAGTCAGATTAAATTTATTTATATATCTACTATTAAATTATCTATTCAACAACTATATTTTTATTTTTTAATTATTCTTAAGAATCTTTCTTGACATGATTGAGAAAAAAGAAAAAAGAAAAAAGAAAAAAGAAAAAAGAAAAAAGAAAAACTTGATTATCTTGATTAATTAAAATGATCATCTTATATCTATTTGAAAATATTTCAAACAATCAGAGATTTTTTTACTAATAATGAAATTTTCTCACTAATAATTACTTTGTTGAACTATTGTAAAAAAAGATTGTTATTCTAATATTAAATTTGATAATTTATCTTGATTTATATTCACCCAAAAAGAATTCTTGATAAATAATCAATTGATCTTGATTATTTGAAAACTATTCAATAGTTACATATTTCTATACCGAAAGTGAAAAAAAAATGTCTTTATTAAAGTGTAATCATATTCAATTTGAAAGTGTGACACTCGTCATCATCGATGTTTTGTAGTTTTTTATCTTATGTTGAATTGATTAGATAAATTCAACTGATTATTTAAAAGATTTTTCTAATGTGTCTCTTTATCAATATAAACTGATAAAATTTTATCTGATAATATACTTAAATCGTTTATTGAAAAGAAAAAAAAAATTTCTTACTATTGTATGAATTGAAATATATAGTGATTATTAACAGAATTTTGATGAATAGAAGAATAGAAGAATATTATTTAAACTTTTCATTTGGTTCAATAAGATATTTAACTAAAAATAAATTAAAAATATTTTCGATAATCTACTTATTTTAATTCGAATCAACATTTATACCATTTTAGATTTGTCTCAAATTTTTCAAGATAAATATTATTATTTATTAAAAACAAAAAAGATTTGAATTATCAATATTAATTTATATTGAAGAATATTCTACTAAGACTTGTTTATCTTGAACAATATTATAGATATATCTTTCTTTTTTTTTTTATCATAATCATATTTGTTTTCTCCTTATTATTCTCTAGTTGTCATTGTCTATGTATAATAGATCTATATTCTTCTACTCTTCATATATATCGATGGAAATTTGTTTGAACTATAATATATTGACATTATATCAAAAATAGAACTTTCATCGAAACTTCTATCATCTAGAATTAATAATCTTATAAGATTATATAATTATTATCAATGATAAATGTACTTGTTACATATGTATACTATATGTATATATATATTAGTATCCAATCTGAGACTACGTTCAATCTCGGATACGCCGAGGACAATTTTGAATTAGAAATAAAATATATTGAATAATAAATTTGAATAGAATAATGTCGATAAAAGAGAATCACCGTTTATGCTAAAACAAACTTCGAAAAAGTAAAAAAAATAATTAATTTATATCTCGATTGTGGGTGGGAAATGAAGAAAACAAGTACATCCATAAATCCACAATGACATAGAAGTTTTATTGATGAAGAGTATATATATATATATATATATGCCATTTTAACTTTGCTCCAAAAAGTTAAATTTAAAAAACTTGTTGATAAAATTATTGTTTTTTTTTCTAAATGAAATATTCTTTGGTAAAATCATTGTTGAGACTAAACAAGATTTGTCTCGATATGAAACATATTTATCAGATATTTAGACGTTTACTCAAAATAGAACAAAATATTTTTTCAAAGAAAAACAAAACAAATATAGATTAGAATTAATAGAAGATGTTTATTAAATTAATTAATTATTTTTTGTTGAAAAATTGATTAAATCATTTTATATTTATGCTGTTTAGAAAATAAAACAAAGGTGAAGAGATTATAGAAAAATTTCTTTCCAAATCAAATATATTATAATGGTTTAATAGATATTTAAGAAAAAGTATAAAATAACAAAAAATAATAATAAGATCATCATATATCCTCTTGGTCAAAATAAACTAAACGCCTTATTTTTATGCTTTTCTCCTCTTTACAATTCTCGCTGAACCTCATTTTTATAACACAGATACATCTTTCATTACTGAACTTTTTCACAAAATTATAGTCTTATAGGATGAGAATCCGTTGAGAAAGACATTATTATATCTGATGTACTCATGTAGCCGTGAAACGAAAATCTCTTGTTTTATTGTTCAATTTTGCCTTTTTTTGTTTCCAATAACAGTAGTCTTTGATGAACACTTCCGCTTCTTTGCACTTTTTCAAAGCATTTTGTGAAGAGATTTATCCAAAAATGCTTTTAATAGTGAGAATGAGACCAGAAAAAGCTAATGTATACGTCAAAAGTTAGTGTTACAGAAGAGAGAAAAAACCAAAATTGAACAATAAAACAAGAGATTTTCGTTTCACGGCTACATGAGTACATCAGATATAATAATGTCTTTCTCAACGGATTCTCATCCTATAAGACTATAATTTTGTGAAAAAGTTCAGTAATGAAAGATGTATCTGTGTTATAAAAATGAGGTTCAACGAGAATTGTAAAGAGGAGAAAAGCATAAAAATAAGGCGTTTAGTTTATTTTGACCAAGAGGATATATTTATTATTTTGTTTTTATTTAATAAAAAAATGTCGAATAAATAATTTATTTATTGATGATATATTCTCATTGAATTATTTAAATAGAAGAATTTAATTTTTATTCGAAAAATTTCTTTATAAAAGAATAGATTTTAATTTAATCTTTTTCAATTTTTATTGATATTTTTAAATAAGAAAAACAATTTATTTTCACAAATTATATCAATTGAAAGAGTTTTTAAAAATTCTCAGATGTTTATCAATATAATAATTTTTCAAGAAGAATTTATTCGTTGAAATATTCTTTTATTTAATATATTTTACTTGAATATTGATTCATCTTATATAAACTTTCATCTCAATGTCTCTTTAATATAATTTAATATTTATCTCAATTTGTTTACCATGACAATCATATCTCTAGATATGATTTATTTTATTTTGATCTTCTTTCATTAAATAGTTATTATTCACCATTATTATATTAAGAAATGAAGATCAATGTTTTTTTTTTCAAGTAAAAAAATCTAAATTAAATAAATAGAACTCCTCCTCTTAGTAAATTAATTATTAAATGTAAGTTAGAGAAAAACAAAATTGTTTTATCTATAATTAATATACTAAAAAGAAGAAAATTTTATTAATGTATATTTTGTTTTCTTCATATCAATCGAAAGTGACGAAAAAATTTCAAATAAATAAAGATTCTCAAAATAGAATATGTTAATGATTGATAAAGAAATATTTAGGTGCACTTCGCAAATCATCTGATCAATATTTAGATAATTTTCAAGTTATTTCCTGTCTTTGTTCCTCTGATGAAAGATGACATATTCAACTGGTATACTTAATCATCTCATCATCAACCGAGTCTTTCATTCTCTTTCAAATTTATTTCTGGTCAAAAATAGTTCGATTACTTTGCTCAAATTTCCAGTAAGACAAATTTTTTTCGTCATTTTTTCGAACATACTTTGGATATAAAACATATCAGTCCTGGCAAATAAATTTCATTCCATATCTAATTAACTCTATTGTTTGAACTACATAAAATTCCAATGATTTTGATTTCATTCGCTTGTTTTGTTTTTATATGTTCTCTTTCTCTCTCTCTGTGGATATTATGGAAAGTGGTCATTCACAAATAGTCATTTTCTCGATAATGCATTTCAAATTAAATGTAAATCAGATCTAAAAATCTGATTTCATCTTTTCAGTAGATATGAAAATAAGGTTGATTGAAGAGCTACTTACAAACAAATTATATATTCGAATTAAATTAATACATATCTTGCTGAAAAATTCAAATAACTTGTTGAATTAATGTCTACTTTATCATCGAAGAGTAACTAATCCGATCACTCGGCTAACTCTCCTTCCCCTTCATTTGATAACTAATTATATATTTTTTCTCTTCCTTTCTCTAATTGGTCACTTGATTTTTCAATATTCCAAAAGATAAAATTTTCAAGTAATAACTTCTTATGATATGTCTATATTATGACAAAGAACAAAAACAATGATCGTAATCAAATTGAATCAGTCAAAAAAAGAAAATGAAAGTTCTTATCTATGATAAAATTCTCTCAACGATGAATAAGATTGAAGTTAACTATGAAAATTGTTCATATTCGAATTTTGAGAACAGAAAGTAACACCTAGGAAGAATTTTCTTCGTTAAATGTACTTATAGAAAGGTAATGAAAGGGATAAATTGATGCTATTCAACAAATTAATATTTTCCTATAGAATATAAAAGCAAAATCTCATTAACAATGTAATATCGACATTCAGATTTGTTCGACATTGAACTTTATAAAAATTAGCTTAAAACGAAAATATAATAGAATTTAATTTTCAACAATAGTCTCATTAACAAATGGAAACAATAAAAATGACTGACAGATAGATAAAAGTGATAAACATTTTTGATATTTGTTTTTCGAAATCAGAATAGAAACATTCAGATAAATTGAGGCCAAATGAATATTTTTATTTATTTGTTTCCATTTACTGTAATTGATAAGCAGAAAAGTATCATGGAAATACTTGAGTCTGGAAAGTCTTCTCGGATAAATAACATATTGATATATATACATTTATTATTTATTATTTATTATTTATTATTGTACAACTTTGAACGTACGATAATTTACGTAGATAAAATTCAGTTTACTACATAACATATTCTAATTATCATCGTAAGTCATTTACAGATGCAAATTAATTTCTCTTGTAGACTTTTTTAAAAACTATTTATTTTTATGATTAAATTTATAATAATATTTTGAATTGTTGAGTACAAACTGTCAGTATGTCAAAACAAGCATAGGGAGACATATTATAAAAGTTTGAATATAATACATATTATTAATATTTTATGGCAGAATGAAAATACTATCACTAGGAGAAAAATAAAATCCAACAGTTCATTTTTATGGAAAAGGACAATTTGTGATATCAACATCTAAAACATGTCTTTTATCTGTTCGTTTATTTTTTAAACTTATTGTTCGGTGATCACAGTTGATAAGTAATTCAATTCTATCATTGATTTCAAAATCGATTTTATAACCATTAAATTCATTTTTGCAAATAACCATTATACCATAGGTTATCTTCTACGGAGAAACCATAATCTCTCTTACCTATTCCACCGTATCCAGAAGCAGAAGTATCTTTATAGAAAATTCCAAAAAATACTCATCTTTCATTACTCAAATGTTTAATTTGAAAACGAATTCTATATTTTCCAGATGTATATTCACATATTCCACGAACTGATGCATAACAAGAACTTCCATAATGAGTAACAACTGTACCGTTATCTGAAATAATAATATCACCAAAAGATTGTTCAAAGCGTTTATATAGAATATCTACTCTTTCGTTGATGATTATTTTCGATATAAATGAACTCCTATTAATTTGTTGAGTTTTATTATCTATTTATTTAAACCATTTTCAAAAAAACTGATCATCATCATCATCACGAACTTTCTTTAACTCTTTTGTAAGACATTTGAAATAATTCTTCACCTTGTCCATATGTTTGTCAATTATATTTATTAATGGTTTTCGAGCATCATTAGCTATTTGAGGAATTTTTTTGAATAAAATTTTGTTCCCATTGATCAATCTGTTTCATCAATGGATGATCAGTAGACTTTTTAATTTGTTCATCAAAATTCTCTCGAAATTGATCATGAAAATCAATAAGATCTTCATCCATCTGTTTTGCTAATTCTTGTCGATGTTGATTTGCATGACACATACAAAATTATACAATTAATAAAAAAAAGCAAACTATGATAACCAACAAAAAAAGGAATTGTCTAGACCAATAAATCGAATGACACATTTTAACAGATAAGAAGAAGAAAAAAGTTTCTTAACATGTTTTAGAATTGAGTTCTTTTGTCTTATATCTTCGAGTAATCGACAAACGATAAATTATTCTATCAAATATTATATATCATAGAAAAATCAACCCGAAAGATTCTTTATACAGAAGAGAATAACTATAAATTAGAAGGAATTTTCCGAATTTAATTCGAATTAGTATATTATATATATATGCCCAAACCTGAAAAAAATCTATCTAATTAGTATTTGGAATATATAGCCACTATAAAAAAAAACATTTGTTTAAAACTAATTCTATAGTCTGAAAGCATGTGGAGTTTTCTATCATCCTACATATTTATGTTTTAGTTTGCAGCTATGTATTACCAAAATAAATTGAATATAATTAAAATAATTTCATCTCCAGATTCCAACAGACTTCATTTTGTCATTGTCATCAACAATGGGTTTTTTTAAAATTTTTCATTAATATAGAATTACGTTTTTGAAAAAGTAATTATATATTCTGATAGAGTTTGAAATTCTCTATCATATTCTATGTTTACTTATTTTTTTGCGTTTATTTATTGAAAAAGTAATTTGAGTACAGTAAACACATCCTTAATTGACAAGTACCAAAAATCTTCATTTTTTCTGTTTTTTTTTAAATTCTTATTCCCAAAGAAATAAATTCTATAAAATAAATAATATCATTTAATAGCACATGAAATT